GGGAACACAAAGCTCCTCTCTCCTAGGCTCGAAAAAATGTCTTTGAAACAATCCACAATTTCATGCTCCCTAATTGCCTCGCCAGTCATTTCACACACAGTACAATAATGAGGAGATAAACACCAATTAGGAGATAAACACCAACATATCACACGTTTAGATACCCCCATAAATACTTCACAACAAAAGAACTAATCATAGGGGAAATAAGAGCACTCCATACTTCCTTTAAGGGATACAAAATCAAGCTAGGATGAGGCAAAGTCAAGGATTTGAAGAAATAAGAACAAGAAAACCTCCTAGAAGAGAACTTGGGGGCCAAATACTGGTGTCATCAAAAAGGGGATGAAGAACCACCCCATCCAAAATTTGCAACAAATTAGATAAGGGAGTCAATCCGGAATCCCTCAAATTCCTTCTCAACCCCAAATTACAAATAAGGACTATGAGACCATTAGTAGAATAAGAACCAAAAAGAAAACCAAAGATTGGTCTCCCTTTCAAAGTTGAGATAGCAAAGATGGCAAGGAATCTATCTTTCAAAGGAATGTCTCCAACCCATAGGTCTTCCCAAAATCCAATCTTACTGCTTAAGGAAAGAACAACCTTGATTGTCAACACCCAATTTTTAATCGATCGCTTCACCCTACCTCTTTATACCCTCCTTTCAAACCCAAAAACTTGGAATCACAACTAGATCAAATTGAGACTTTACAAAGCCGAAAATCCCTCTTTTGACACAATCCACAAGACAAATGAAAACCCCAACATCAAAATCGACGTCCAATCAAATATGGCCTACAGACTAAGGAAACTGTAAATTAGTTACATCCACCATTCATCACGCCAACTTCCTTTCTAATGGCCTTCATCCAACACATCGATCACCTCAAGATCACTAGGATGCAATCAACTAGCAAATCCCACCATAAACCTCAAAACTTTAGCTCCTCACCTTAATCCATACCTATCCACTAAATTTTAGCTCAAAATTCCTCCGTTTGACTCACCATCAAGCCTAGATCTTATTTCAACAAATCCCATCGATTAGATCTATCATTCATCATCCTAGCTTCATTCGACCAATCAAAACTCACCACTATGTTGGAAAACCCAAAAAACCCAGGCACGTCAAATTTCACGACCAAAAAACCCAAAACCCAAAAAACCCCATCAGACATGCAGGGCCTTTTTGCCCCCTCCTTCTTTAGGTGGCGGTTAAAAAGGGGAAGGACAATGTGGAGAGGACTAAGGGCTGCAGTATGTTGGACACTGTGGGAAGAAAGGAAYTCYAGRATATTCTYAGAAACTCAGAGAGGGACAGCAGATTTGAGGACTATCATACAGTTTAGGG